TCCACAAAAATGGAGAGTTTTCGACATCGTTCTTTCGCACAAGTCGAGTCGACCATTGTTTATTATTATTATTATTATTACAAGATTGATAAAAAAAAAAATAGGACAAAAAAGAAGAAAGAAAGTATAGAAAAAATAATGTGGAATGGTATATTTACATAACCAATCCTAATTCATTGCTTCAAATGTATATACATATATACGCATACGTTGCTATGTAATATACACACACATAAAAAAACAAAAAACCAAATAATTTATATGTTTCTTCTGTATGCAGATATATGTTCTTTCAACACAACAACAAAAATCCGTAAAACTTGGACGTTTTATTAACTTCGTATTAATTCATTTTGATAAATATCACACGTATGCATAACACGCATATATTTTGAGGAAAAAAAAAAAACCATTTTTTTATCTTGGACCTAATCTTATGCACTTTGTCACGGATAAAAAAATTATTACTGTTGTCTCATCATTATGATTATATACTCTATTAAGATATCCTTAAAGTAAAATGAAATTTCAATCACCGTATGCATTCTGAAAAAAAAAAAACAAAAAAATAAACTAAAAATACGATTTTTTTTGCTCTTATAATAATGATTAAACTTAAACGCGATTATGGAAAGAATTATACTGGAAGGGCTATACGTGTCACGTTTAGATGAAATTATGAAATTATAATTGAAAGAAGGGTTCTAATTAAAAAAAAAAAAAAATAAATAAATAAATAAAAGAAGATTAAGATACAACGGTTCTACGACGATCATTTTTCTTCTAAGATTCATCATCAATTATAATCAATGATATTTAAATAATAATACACATTGAGATTGTAAAGACAGTGGAGTTAGGTTGATGCACAAATCTATTTACGATTATAAACAGGATTATATATCTATTTTATCAAGTCATTCGAATTTAAACGTAATACCGAGGAATTATATAAATAATACTAATACTAATACTAATAATAATAATAATAATAATAATACTAATACTAATACTACTAACAGATTTAAGAAAAAGCAACCAGAAACAAGCAAGAAAGAAAAAAAAAGTAAAGTAATCGAAGATGGAACATGGAAATGCATTTTACTCTTTTTTTTTTTTTTTTAAATGGCAAATTTATTACAAAACTATGATAATTAAAAAAAAAAAACAGCTTTCAGTGAGAATTGATCGCCTCATATCCATTCGACACACGCATGGTCGAGTATCATCATCGGTAGGTCTTTGCACGTTGAAGCGTCGTAAATCCTCGATTTAAAAAGATCGAAAAAGATCATTCTTGGATCCGACGTTCTATACGATCTGTGATTTTATTATCAGATTCTTAATGGTACATATATATATCGGGGAGCAGAGTCGAGGAGATTTAAAAAGGAAGAAAGAAAAAAATACAAAAAAAAAAAAAAATACAGCGGTCATAGTTAGATGATTTACGAATGCAATTCTTACGAGCCATTCGATCGTATCTTTGATAATTTAGATTTTAACTCATTGCGGATTGTAAAGATATATATACATACTTATAAATCAAAAAGAAAACAACAAACAAACCTAATTGTGAATAATATTTAAGCTCTGTTGTGCATATATATTTTAAAATAAGAATAAATCATTATTTAAGTGACAGTAATGATTTCTTTTCTATTATTATAAGGATACCGTTTATGAATTACCGACGATTAATTCATACAATAATTTCAATGAAAATTTCTTCAATTTCAGGATCGTAAGTTTTTTTTTTCATTTTTTATGCGATAAAAGAAAAAAAGACCACTGAATTTTGCTAACAAAATGTTGGAAATATTTTTCTAATAAATCATAGTAAAAATAATTTATTATTTAAAATCAAATTAGTACTTTGAATATATTTTGTTCTCTATTTTTATTTAAACAAAATTGTCACTATTGGTATTTAGGAAGAAAAGCTATTAATAAATCAACTAATTTTGTTCATCGATCATCGTTAAGC